AGAGGCGCATTGGTTAACAGTTGGCTTGGGAGCACCAGCTCTATGCAGCAGGGCCCCAGTTCAGATCCCACATGAGGGCCAGTGACGCTGCACCCTCCATAGCTAAGATGGTGAACAACAGCTCGACCTGGAGCTGGGCTGCCATGAGTCACCAGCAACAGTGTAGGCTGCAGTGGCCTCCCATAAGCTACCATGAACAGCTGGCAGCCTGCGTGAGCTGCCAAGAGCCGCCATGAGCGGCCGTCCAGTGGCCGGCGACCGATCTGCCTCACCAGGGAAGAGTGCAATAATACCAACATGGGCCAGTGAAGCGACGTCCTCCACAACTAGACTGAACAAAAAAAGGACAGCCACGTGTCTGTTCCCCTTCCCCGATTCCCCCAACACTGTTCCCCTCCCCCAATTCCCCAAAAAAAATCTTAAAAAAAAAAAAGAGTGAATCAGGAAGAAACAGAAAATCTGAACAGACCAATAACAGCCAATAAAATAGAATCAGTAATAAAAAAACTCCCAACAAACAAAAATCCTGGACCAGGTAGCTTCACAGGTGAAGTTTACCAAACAATCAAAGGAAAATTAATACCTATCCTTCACAAACTATTTTAAGAAAATGAAGAGGAAGGATGGCTCCCAAACTCATTTTACAAAGCCAGCATTATCCTGATAACCAAACCAGACAAGGACACTACAAAGAAAGAAAATGATAGCCCAATATCCCTGATGAACATAGATATAAAAATCCTCAACAAAATATTAGCAAACTGAATTCTGCAATACATTAAAAAGATCATACACCATCATCAAGTAGGATGTATTCCTGGGATGCAAGGTTGGTTCAATATCCGTGCCACACAATAAAACTGAAGGATAAAAATCATATGATCATATCAATAGATGCAGAAAAACCATTTGACAAAATTCCAACATCATTTATAACAGAAACCTCTCAGCAAAGTGGGGATAAAGGCAACATACCTCAACATAATAAAAGCCATATATGACAAACCCACAGCTAACATCATACTCAATAGTGAAAAGCTGAAAGCTTTTTTTTTTTTTAAGATCAGGAACAAGACAAGGATGTCCATTTTCACCATGTTGATTCAACATAATACTGGAAGTCCTAGCGACATTAATCAGATAAGAAAAAGAAATAAAAGGCATCCAATTGGAAAGAAATAAACTCATTATTTGCAGTTGACATGATACCATATATAAAAAACCCTAAAGATTCCACCAAAAAAAATGATTAGAATAAATGAATTCAGTGAAGTAGCATGATACAAAATTAATATTCAGAAGTTGGTTGCACTTTTATACACCATAAACTGTCAGAAAGCGAAATTAAAAAAACAATCCTATTTACAATTGAATCAAAAAGAATAAAATAACTAGGGACAAATTCAACTAAAGTAAAAGACCTGTACTGAGAAAACTATATGACATTGAAGAAAAGAAACTGAAGAGGACACAAATAAATGAAAGGATATACCATGCTCATTGACTACCCAAAACAATCTACAGATTCAATGCAATCTCTATCAAAATACCAATGGCATTTTTCACAGAACTAGAATAATCCTAAAATGTACATGGAACCACAAAATACCCAATAGCCAAAGCAATATTGAGAAAGTAGAGCAAAGACGGAGGTATCCTGCTACCTAATATTAAACTATACTACAAGGCTACAGTAATCAAAACAGTGTGGTGCTGGTTTAAAAACAGACACATACGAGGTGTGACAATTAATTTTGTGAACTCATCCTAGAAAAAGAGCTACATACCTCATTGCTGAATATCACTACAGTCACCTTTGAAGTACTCCCCTTGGGAAGCTATGCACCGATGCCAGCACCTAGTCCACCCATCAAAGCAATTTTGGAACTCTTTTTCTGGAATGGCCATCAGATCTGTCATCGTATTACCCTTGATGTCTGGAATGTCATCAAAATGTCTTCCTTTCAATATTTCCTTTATCTTTGAGTAAAGAAAGAAGTCTTTGGGGGCCAGATCAGGTAGGGAAGGTGTTCCAATACAGTTATTTGTCTGCTTGCTAAAAACTCCCTCACAGACAGTGCCGTGTGAGCTGGTACATTGTCATGATCCAAAAGCCATGAATTGTTGACGAAAAGTTCAGGTAGTTTTCATCTAACTTTTTCACGCAGCCTTTTCAGCACTTCCAAATAGTCAACTTGGTTAACTGTTTGTCCAGTTGGTACAAATTCATCATGAATAATCCCTCTGATACCAAAAAAGGTTAGCAACATCGTTTTGACCCTTGATTTGGACTGACGGAACTTTTTTGGTCATGGAGAACTGGCTGACTTCCATTGTGCAGTTTGATGCTTCGTTTCAGAGTTGAATTGGTATACCCATGTTTCATCACCAGTGATAACACAGCCCAGAACATCATCCTGCCCCTCCAAAAGGTCTTGGCAAACTTCAACTCTCTTGCTTTTGTTCATCGGTGAGCTCCTTTGGGACCATTTTTGTACTCACCTTTCTCATGCCAAGATTTCAGTTAAGATTTTCCTAACTGTTTCTCTATCGACATTTACTTGGTCTGCTATGCTTCTCACAGTCAGCTGACAATTTTCATATACAATTCAATGAATTTTTGCAATGTTTTCATCAGTTCTGCTCATTACTGGCCGCCCTGACTTCCCTTCATCAGTGACATGTTTTCTCCCCTCAGAAAAACATTTGTAGGGCCGGCCGAGTGG